TCCCAGCGGAGCGTCTGCAGGCAGCTGGGAAGCATCCCCATGTTTTTCTGCCGTAGTGGGGAAGGATGCTCCCCGCTGGCTGGGGGCACAGGGGCTTGTCGTTCAAACCCTGTGCTGCTGGGGCTGAGGTCAGCGCCCTCCACTCCCACAGCCCTCCCGCCCCGTTCCCACGCCCCGCAGCGGGGCAGGACGCCGGCCTCGGCACCCTTCCCAGTGGAAACCTCCAGCGTTTTTCATCTGCGTGGTTTTTCCTCTTTTTTTTTTTCTCTTTTGTTTTCCTTATTTTTTTTCACTGTAATGCTTGCAATGCGACTGAAGAGTTTTGTGGGGTTTTTCATTTGTGGGTTTTTTCAATGGTTTTATTTAAGCCCCAAGAGTTTGACCAAGCTGCCCTGAGCTCACAGCTCCCGCCCTGTCTCTCACGGGGGCGATTTTTTTTTAGGGCAAGGGAAGCCTCCCCCGCACACTGCTGAGCACTGCTGGCTGCAGACTGTCACTGCTCCCTGCAGGCAGCACTGCCCTTGGGCTTGTTTTGCTGCTGCAGGGGCCATGTGTGGGGGCTGAAACCCTCTGGGTGAGCAGAGCATCCCCGGGGCCAGAGAGGGAGTCCAGGCAGAACAGCCTGCCAGTCCTAGGGCCCAGCTCCATCAGTGGTGGGTCTGGGGGAAGTGCAGGTGCTGCTGCCCAGGTGGCTCCAGCAGGGAGAGGAGAATGGCAGGAATATGAAGCTTGCTCAGGGTGGGTACCAGCCCTCACTTGCTATCAAACCACCAGCACCCAGCAGTAAGGGCCATGATGGGAGTTCTGATCATTCACTTTCTGGACCTTAAATTGTGTCTGCACTTCCATCAAGGATCAAAAACTTTCCCTGCCCCAGTGTTCCTGCCAGGTGATTTCTCACCCCGGTGAGGGAGAGCATCACTGCAGCAACCTAACACAATCCAGATTTCCTGGAAACTACCAAATTCACTTTCCCATTATCTGAATGTCCTAGGGATGATATTAACTGTGAGCAAGATGCTGATGGGTGAGTGATGCCAAGGCTGCGCAGTGATGCAGTGCAGGAGAAAACAACTCCTCCAGGCAGTGGGGAGGGAAGATGTTCTCCAGCTTTCTGTGGGGATGGCTAACGGGGACAAATGTGTCCCATCTCACAGAGGAATCCAGGACATGGCAGCAACAGGGTGTAAACCATGCCATCCACTAGGGCTCTGCCTGCCCTGCCTGGCATGGGCAGCTCTTGACAGGCAGTGCTGTGATAGGCAGGCACCATGCTGGCAAGCCTTCCCCTGCATATCACCCCCAAAACCCTGGATTAGCAGGCAAAATAACTAATGTTTTGTGTGTTTTAAGCAATGTTGACAAAACAGAGTCAATATAATACCCCAGCTTGGTGCCAGAGAGCAGTGGCTTGGGCTGAAAGCAATTAAGTGAGGAGGTGCCCAGAGCCAGGCATTGAGCCATGTGGTCACACACCCAGCTCAGGGACGTGCTGCCACCCCGAAACCAGATGGCTTGAAGGCTGGCACCTCTGGGTTGAGGCAGGTGACTCAGAGAAGTCCAAGTGCCATATGCCTCTGGGAAAACCTTTATCGAATAACACAAAATCTCATCAACAGTAAACTGAGTTTCCATGGGAAATCTAGTTTCCATAGAGCAGTATTGCCTGACATGTCTCATGCTGCCCTGACAACTTCCTGAGCCTGCACCTAGCAGGCAGGCTACGAGGAGCATGCCACGAACTGCCTGCCAAGTAGAGTCTGCTGTGCCCACCCACAGCAGGGCTTCAGCTCCTCTGCTTCCCAAAAGGGCTCATGTCCACCCCAATGGCTGGGCACAGGTGCCAGCACATTCCATCCCAGAGCAGTACTCACTTCTGGGCCTTGGGCGGCTTCTCCTGCTTCTCAGGGTAGGGGATGATGAAGTCGATGGTCGAGTCAGGCTTCTGGAGCAGTGTGCCCAACTTTGTCTTGATCTCCTTGGCCCTGTGGGAGGAGAGGAGCAGAGACAGGTCAGGCAGAGGGAAGGAGCAATGGGGACTGTCACAGTCCCTGCCCTGTGCCTGCATGGACCCTGGCGCAGCCGCTGATGGGGTACAAAGCTCTGTAATTAATTACAGACGAACAAATGGACCCTAATGCTGTAAAGGCTGCACCTGGCTGTGGTGTTTCAAATCGGACACTGCATTAGCTGTAACTCTTGATCTTGATCTCTTTGCTCTGTCCCCATCTGTGGCCTGGATAATTGTATCAGCGGAGCTGGCAGGCTCCTGAGAGTGAATTAGGGACGTGTGTGCAGCACTCAGTCTCTATAGTGATGACCCTGAAGAAGTGCTGGTGAGGAGGTGAAGGAGCTGCTCCCAGAGAAGACACTGTGTGGGTGCTGGGCTGGGCTGCACAGTAGTGCCTGCCCCACCAAGACCCATCCCACACTATGCCTGCCAGCCCTGCAATGCTGATGGCACTCAGCAGGGTGCCCTTATAGATAGATATATAGATATAGCATATATATATATAAGCAATATATAAGCCTTATCTCTTCAATGGGAAAGGTCCTGCAGACACATCCTAGGTGCTGCCTTCTCTGGGCAGAGGGGGAAGGAGGGTTTCATCCAGAGTTGAAATACTCTGACTGCCAAAGGCTGACTGCCAGTCTCCACTGCCCTGAGGCCATGCTCTAGACCTCCATTTGGAGAATGCAGAGACAAGATGGGTCCTGGGGCTTGACAGCAGGCCCAGCTGTCTCCCAGAACATTCCCTTTTGTGCAATACAATTTGCCATCAGGCCCTGAGCAAGCTCCCCTCCACTGCAGTTCAGTGGTCGTAGCAAGAGCAAATTGAGCTTTTGCAGGGAACACTCAGGTGTACTTGCATAAGGCTGAAGAAATGGAAGGGTGAAAACAGGTCCCCCAAACCTTATATTTGCAGGACAGGAGTTTTCCCCAGCCCAGCAACATTTGGTGGCTTTCAGGTTATCTTGCTGGCACAGGAGGGGAAGGGGAGCAAGGGGACACACTGCTCCCCCATGGGCTGGCTGGGCTCAGAGCCTTCAGCATGGGGCTCCTTGTGCCTCTCCTCTCTGCTGTTTGTTTTCACAAGCCCTCTGCAGATCATGGCTCCCTTGCTATGTCTGCTATTTCAGCTCAATTCCTTTAAGTTTTTCCCTCCTTGTAAAACTCTCTCTGTGTTTTGGTTTCCACCCACCAGTCCCTACGGGTGACTTTCTGAGACCTGGCACAGGCTCTGCTCCCTGCTAGCTGCCCCACACTTCTGCTTGCAGAAACCTGCCTCCAACCAGCCATCCTTGCATGGAAGGGGCAGCAGGGCCAGCTGGAGTGAGCAGCCCAGCCTGGGGCTGCACAGACCATCCACCATGGGTGTATGGCACAGGGCAGCATACACCCAAAACCCCAGCTGTTTGCATAGAAAACATCAGCAGCTATAGGGGCAGCTTCCATTGCTAGTATTTCTGAGAAGACTTGAGTCTTGCCTGGACAGTCTAGGACCTTAGGTGAGGGGTGACAAGGTCACCACACTCCCACACTGAGGTGTCTGGGGCAGGGATGATGCCATGCACCGTTTGTCCCACCCCCTATAATAAATCAAGAAATTGCAGACACATGTTTTGAGCTGGAGCTGGTTCCTGACATCCAGTGCCTGGGGCTGGCTCTCCTGCAAGCCTCGGGTGGCCTTTGGCACCCTGCTGGCTGACACCATCATGCTGGGACCCCAGTGGCATGGCCCTGACCCATAGGGATGGCATGGCTGTGGCAATGGAGAGTAGGTGAAGTGGGCAGGAGCTGCAGCCCCATTAGCCCCGAAGCAATGGGTGGGTGCAGAGGGTGCCCAGGAAAGCCAATGGGGCAGGATGGCCCCTTGGCTCCGCTTTCCCAGACATCTGTGCTTGTGGCCACAGGTTCCCGCAGGGAAGGGGACACATGGATTCAAGGAGCATCTCTCAAACAGGAACTAAGCAGAAATGCTGGCTGCCACCTTGGCCCTCTCCCTGCCATGGCCCAACACTTGAGAATGTAGAGGTGGGGATGTTGTCATGGCCAACCTGCTGCCAGTGCCAGGTGCTGTGCACCCGAGATGGTCCCTTCCAAGTGACTGAACCATATGCCCAGTCATGGGGGATTCATCTGGCAAGAGCAGAGGGGGAAGGCAAGGGGGAAGTGGATCGCCCACCCCTGAAGCAAGGACGGTGGATGCCAGAGGGTCCCGAGCAGGCAGGGGGATAACACAAGGTGTGCTGGGAGCAGGGGCACCAAGAGTCAAACCTAGCTCGTGATGACCTAAGGAGGTGGGAAGACAGGACCAGGACTCTGTTGCTGTCTGAACAGGACCTGGGGACCACCCTGCCCTGGTGCAGATAAGGCCAACACACACAAGGTTGGTATGCAACTGATGGTGGCTTCACACAGCAACAAGTACTGCCCTGGATACACACACAAGGTTGGTATGCAACTGATGATGGCTTCACACAGCAGCAAGTACTCCCCTGGATTACACTCAGACCTGGTTCATCACCTTGCTCTCCAATTCCTATCCTCTGACAGTGACTTACAGCCAACATCTGTCAGGCTCAAAGGACACTGACGGGCCTTGATGACCCTGAGCAGCCCCAGCTGAGCCCACACCCTGCACACAGCCAGAAACTGTATTTAAGCCCAACCCTGGGGCTCCCTTCCCTTGGGAAGTGCTGTGCATTGGTGTTGGACCTATGTTGCAGCCCCACTGCCTGCTGCTCCCAATGAGACTCTTTGCATGCCTCCATCCTGCTGCATCCCATGGTGCTGTCAATAGACCACCAGTAGCTGCCCACCCTGCTGGAGCCCTGCAGGTTCCAGTGTGGGGACAGGAGCAAGAACCTACCCCCTGCACCAGAGCAAGTCCCCAGCAGTGGGATATTCATGAAATCTATGGGTACAGCATTGGTGAGGAAGGTTGTTAAAAAGGAAGCGAGAAAGGACAGGAGCAGGCAGAGTGCCTGCAGGCTGAGGAAGGGAAGGGCTATTTAAAGACACCATCCTGGCGTCCTCCAGCAGATAGATTACAAACTTTCAAGCAAGGCTTCAGCGAAGGCTAAACAGCAGGGTAAAAAAGGCAGCTGTAAACAAAAAGGCATCCTTTAAAAAAACTAGCTATGGCCGAGTGAGAAAAAGCAAGAGGGCCGTAAACGGTGGAAGGTTAAGTGTGAGAACATATGGGAGCAAGCCAAGAAAAAGTCTGAGAAACAGCTTCCAAGAAGCATTAATAGAAAATATGGGCTCTGTCAAACACATCAAGAGCAAGAGGGCTGCTGGAGAGGGCCAGGAGAGACTTCAGCTTTAAAACAAAACAAAAATAGAAGCTCAAAGGAGTTAAAGCTATAGCTGAAAGCTAAAGGTGCTGCTGTGCCTGAGGGCAGAGAGGTGCCATAGGAAATGCCCCTTGAGAGGAAAAAGGTTCCAGAGGGGATTCAAGGAGCTATAAAGCTGCAAGCATGACACTGTACGGGCATGTCAGCAGCAGCTGTGTCAGATCTGTGGTGGACACATGGACAAATATGGTCTATTGGAGAGAAGTCAAAGCAGTCCTGGCTGTAAGAAAAGATTCTTTACAACCTATCGTTCCCCTCTGAAGAGGCCAGCAAGCATGTGCTGTGAGGAGAGTTAGGGGGTACCAGCCCCCTAGGTCTGCAAGGGACCTTGGATGGGCACTCCAGACCCCAGGCAGCTGCAGGGGGAAAGTCATCTCCTGGGTGACATTGTGGAAAAGGTAGTACACAACTGTGGGGATGATGCCGCAAGGGACCTTGGATGGGCACTCCAGACCCCAGGCAGCTGCAGGGGGAAAGTCATCTCCTGGGTGACATTGTGGAAAAAGTAGTACACAACTGTGGGGATGATGCTAGGGGAATGCAGGCTGGGTCCATGCTGCTAACATCACATGCATGGGGAGAAGGTGATCAATGACTGAGCAGTAGGTATTGCACTCCTCAGGTGGGGACAAGTTGTGAGGAACTCCAGGAGAGTCTCATGAGACTGGCAATGAAGCAGCTCTTGGAATGCCTCACAGAGCAATACAAAGTGATGTGCATGGGACAAATGCAGTCCTAACTCTGCGTGTAAAAGTGTGAGTGAAGCTGCCTTCAAGAGTGAGGATTTGAAGGCACAACAGATGAAAGCATCAGCATAGCACCAGTGGGGAAAAACTTAATTTAGTGTTAAATTAGAAAGTGGCAGAAAAGTGACAGCAGAGCAGAAACGTGTGGATCACCCATATCTGGCAGAGTACTGCATGACTGCCCGTGGTGCAGGAGGCTGCAGAGGAGCAGGCAAGGTGAGCATGGATCCACAAGGATAACTAAAAGGCACATTTCCAACAAAGTGTCGCAGGCCCACGTTCCTGTTTGTGCCCATGATGGGAATTTGTATTGCTTTTGGGCAAGTGGCATCAGCTCCCAGTGCCACAACTGATTAAAGGGGACTTCTCTGGAGCACCCTCCAAGGCAGTGAATATCCCCTCAGCCTCATCCAAAAAACAGTGCTAAGGCATTTGCAGCCACAAGGGAATCCTCATTGGGAGATTCACATGTAAAGTTTTTTCCTGAGTTTCCTCCTCAGGTCATGTATCGAGTGCCCTGCCGCAGCAGCGAGACCCCAGATTCTTTGCATCTCTGCTTCATCGACCCCCTCCAAAGCCCTTCCAGCCCTGTGGGAGCAGGTGAGAGGGCAGGTTCCAGTCAGCACGGCAATGGCTGGGGGCTGGAGATTGTCTGGACTCCCAAGGTCTTGAGAGCAGCCTGGGAGGCACCAGCACCAGTGGGGCAGGTTTTGTGGCAAGCACCAGGGCGGATAGGGATGAGGATGTGTGCCACGAGCAGGGCAGAGCTGGTGCTTTGCACAGAGCTGAGCCTCGTGAGAGGGGCTGGGAGCGCTAATCCGTGTGGGAGCAGGACTCAGGCAGGTAAAGAGGATTTCGAGGCACTTTGGAGCCAGGACTGTTTTTGTCTCAGAAAAGCAAAACCTCTTTCCTACTTCTTTCCTCCTCCCCGTGTCCATGTTTTGCGGCTATTAAGATCTGAGGACAATGAACTCCAGCTTGGAGCAGCAGAGGTGGAGGGGTGGGTTTGGGGCAGCTCAAACTCACCCAGCAGAGAGATTCCCAAGCCAGAGTGGGAAGTTTGGGACTGAATCAGCGCTCGCTCTGCCGAGCCACTCGCAGCACCCACTGAGTCATCCCCAGCAAGCCACCCTTCCCAGTTCAAAGCTGGATAACCCCAGCCCCCATAAGAGATGCCCATCACGGGGATGTGCAGTAGGAAGAGCCCCCGTGACCCCAGCTGCCCCGGGACAGCCCCTGGCTCCCCGCACATCCTGGCCACTCTCACCTCTCCAGGCCCGTGTGGGGCAGCGCTGCTAATCCTTTGCACATCTTGGCAGGCTGTAGTTTTTCCTCGGCTGTGAGAAGAGTGTGAGTGATGGCTAAACCAGGCAGCAGTGGCTCAGTGCGCAGCTCAGCTCTCCCTCTCGCCGCTATATAGCGCCGGCGGCGGGCCCCCAGCCAGCCCCGTAACCAATACCGGCCGCGCTGCCGCAGCTGGCCCCGGCCCCGGCGGCTTCTGGATTTTGTTTTCTCTTCTCTAAGCTCACACGAGGAGAGAAAAAAAAAAAAAAAAGTGTTTTTTCTTTTCTGGGGTGAGATCAGGTAATCAAATTGGAAGGGCCAAACTGCAGTTTGGGGGGCTTCAGGAAAGCCGCAGCGTTTCTTTTAATGATATGTCAGACTCCACATCAGTATTTAGAAATGCTTCATTTAAGTGAGGGTTTTTTCCCCAGTGAAAAATAGGACTTTCAGAAGAATAAGCGTGTTTATGAGAAGTCTTGCCATTGATTTAAAGGCTGCTGCTGATGTCAAAACATCCACAGCTTCAACAGTGGTTATGGGCTGGTGGGTTAACAGTGACTTTTGTTCCAGAACAAATTCATTTTCATGTAAGCTTGAAAAAAAAAGAAAGCTTTTCATCATAACAAATGTTCTGGATTTTATCTGACAGTGACATTTTGATGAGTCCAAAAACATCTGTGATATGAGTTTCTCCCAGCCTCAGCCAGGCATCCTGGCACAGTGTAAAACCCAGCAAGCACAGCAGTTCATGACAAACACGGGGACCAGCCTGGCTCCAAGGGGTCCCACAGCCAAAGCACTGGTTCTGTGATGCCCCTCCTGGCTGCTCAGCGGGAGGAAGAGCTGCAGCTAGCAGCTGCAGTGGAGTCACTCCTAACACAGCTTAGCAGCCCTTGGAGTGGAGAGGGTGACCAGAGCTACCCCTGAAAATCTGCCCTGTGCCTGGCCCCGACCTTGGCTGCCTGGGTGTCTACGAAAATGTGCATCTGAGGGCTTTGTTTAACACTCTGAGCTGGGAGTAGGGATCTTACTCCCAACCCGGTTGTCCACATACAGCACTAATGGCTATAATTGCCCTGACCAGACTCACCTGCCCCCAGCACAGTGCTACATTTAAGCTCAGCCCTGGGCCCTGTTTTGCTCCTTGGGCTGTGCCTGGCTCTGGCTCACAGATGGATTTTGAACCTGTTCTGGGATTATGAAGCAAGACCCTGTCTCTGTTTCAGCACGTGAGTGCACTAACCGAAAGCTGGAATTCTGTTGGAAACTTGGAGAGCTTGGGCTAGCTTTGTAGTGGTTTGTAATGGAAACTGAATGATAGAAAGTACAGCCTACAATTTCAGAGGCTGAAATGTTCAAATTATGTTTACCTGGGCCTGGGCTGATTAGAGCCTCCCAGTTGGGGGTAGCCCAGAGCCCAGTGGCCCCGTCTCCCAGCAGCTGGGGTGCAGCTCCTGCTTTCTGAGGGACTGCAGCTTAGAAAGCTCAGGACCTTTGCTGTGCTTGGGGCCAGAGAGTGTGTCAGGGCCGTGTGTTTGCTATCAGAGATGTCACCAGGATGTCACTGAGTGCCAGGTCAGTGTCTGCCAGCTTGGAGGCTGTTTTGAAAAGCTCCTTTGAAGCGCAGTGCTGTTTGCAGAATGCTTTGCCAGCTGTCTGGGCACATCCTGGCATTGAGGGGAGCAGGTGGCAGTGTGGGTTGGGCAAGAGGTGCCATTGGTTCTCACAGCTTAGGGCTGGGAAGGACACTGGAGCCATGGGACTGCATGGCACACGCCTGCAGACCTGTGCTGGCTGCTGAGCCATTGGGAATGCAGTTATTTTTTCTCATTAATCTTCAGTAATAAAAAGTCAGCCGTTGGAATCCCAGAACCTGGGTCTGTGGGATCAGGCAGTTTGTGTGAATGCTGTCCAGCAGACACTGAGCACCCTTCCACGCTCTCTTTCCAGCTGCAGCTGAGGCTATATGCCCCTGGAAAACAGAGAGCCATACCAGGTATGTCAGGGGCATATGCTTCCAGCTCTGCACACTTCCTGCTGCTCAAAGGAGCCAGGAGCTTCACCCAGTGAGACTCCATGGAGGAACTGAGTCTGTCCCCTGAAGACTTTTACCTCCTTCACCCCTTTCAACCCTGGGTAGGCAAATTCCTTGCTCCTGTGGCTCTCTCATAGTTCCTATAGTAGTGACCTATAATCTCTTCCACAGCTCTAGGGTGGGGGTTTAATGAGTGTGCAAACTGGGGAACTGAGGTCCAAAATGAGTGAGGAAACTCCTTGTGAGGGTGATAAGGAAGCTGCACTGTGTGATGGATTGTAGTTGTGCATTTTAACAGATTTATCTGAAACCCTGAACAAGAATTTGTGTACCACTGAGAAAAAGCAAGGGTTACACAGAAATAGCTCACGTTTTCCACAGACCTTTGTCCAGCAAATGTTTGTTTTGTGTGTTTCAAGGCTTTAGAGTGCTAAGAAAATATTTTCAATAAGAAACTACACAGACCTTCCTTTCCTTCCCACGACAGCTTAATTTCTTTAAGAGCCCTTCTGGGAGAGCTTTTTGGAGATCCAAGAGCACTCTGAGGACCAGATTGTCTTGTGTACACAATGGCTGGTTTCCTCCAAGAGTGCTCTAGGCTTGTGCCTTGCAACTGCCCCCTCAAAAGGCACGTGGAATCTCCCATTACACCCGATTTATCCTGGGCCCAGTTATTTCCAGACTTTATTATCCTTTCTAACAACATGCCTTTTATAGAAGGCAGCCTAGCTGCATTGCAGTTTCCTGGTTCCCACTGGAACTTTTTAAAAACTAGCATCATATTTAACAATGTTGACTTTTTGGTAAAGGGATCACTGTAATTCTCACCCAGGAGAGTATTTGGCAGCTCATCTGAGTGCTCCTTCTGGCAGATTTTTAACCATGTGTTCTAAAAATGGGGTTAAAAACATTTTTTTTTTCCCCTAAGTGCTTTGGGACAGTCATGCAAATGTGTGTCCCCTAAGGAATGATGCTAGAGTGAGCTCCTTCACAGCAAAGGCCAATGCAAGTAATTCACCAAGCCTTTCTGTGATGGCTCTTTTCTTCCTATAGAGTCTAATCACATCCTGTCTCCAGGACTCCCTGGAGAACTTCTCCTTCTCACATAGTTGTGATTAACTTTTATGCCTTTAGGATGCTTTCCTTTAATCTTCTGTGGCTTGCTTTTCCCCTGTAACTCTCCAGGGCTTGAATTCTTTTTTTAAATTCTCTCATCTGTATACAATGTTCACTTCTTTTCAGGTCTTACCACTTCAGGTGTTCATTTCTACTCCCCTGTATAAAGACATCCCCCTTTTTTAAAAGTCTCTTAACACTGGAGTGCATTATGGCTGTGTAACCCAGTGCTGTGTGCTTGAACAGCCTTTGTGTTCCATAACACCCCTCAACACCCCTCAGAGATCTCCCTACTACTCCTGGCCAGCCTATGTCTCATTTCCCTTTGGTCATTAAATATTACTCTAAAGGTACTGCTTTTGCTCCCACTGGGACAGTCTCATCAGTAATTACAGCTCTGTGGCCCCTTTGAAGTAAGCCCTACACACGGTTGAGGAGTCTCTCGGTTGCAGGCATTCCTTTGCTCCCATTAACACACAGGGTGGGCTTACACCATCCCACCACCTCTGCCAAGTTTCTGAGGTCCAATCCAGTGATTAAAATGCTTGTGTGGAGGAAGGAGATGAGATCCAGGCTCCCTTCATCTGCCACATCCAAGTCACTGACACAGGAGCCACGGGCGAGGTCGGAGAAAATCCTGGAAAGCAGCGTTACCCGGAGCACTGGGACTCTAGCCAGCTGGGAATTTGGGAGTCACGTAAGTTCTGCATCCCCAGCTGTGGAGCCACTGAGTTCCTCGACCCCGAGCATGAGGCCTGAGAACAGCTGGGGCTGTGCTTGGGACATTGCACTGCTCCTTGTGCCTGCTCTGTGCAGGAACCTGCTCTCCTTGCTGGACAGCATGGGGCAGGGGCAAGCCCACTCCGAGGTGTGCACAGGGATGGCCTCACTGCTTCCACATGCACAGCAGCCTTGGGAACACAGAGCAGAACTAGTTCATCTGTGTCTGTAAGGAAAGCCCAGAGGGATACGCAAGGAGAGGTAAGTACCTGCATGGTGTTTATGTGAACACAGGTACCAAAGTGACAGCTCAGGTCTGAACAGCAGCTTCCCTACAGCACTTCCTCTGCATCCTGAGCAGATCAGTTAGGATTGGCCGTGTGTTTACAGAGACCTGCTGCAGGCAGAGCCACCACCCCAGGCGCCTCAGCAGCTGCTGCTGAGCATCCAGGAGCTCTGCTATCCAAGCAGCACTGGTGCCACTATGTGCTCTGTCAGGTGCAGCCTCCACACAGGCAGCTGTGCACTGTCCCTGCTTTCCTGTGTCCATCTACTATATGGCCACTTGCCTGTGTGCATGCCCTGAAGTGTCACTAAAGGCCACAACCTGAACAGATGCAGTGGGGTTGTTGATGGTGCAGGTGACAGACATGATTTCAACACAAAGCTGACACAAATAGATCAGTCATACGGTTTTATTTAAGGCCTGGATTACGCCACTTTCACCTGTATTCGTATGTTGGATCCAGGCAGTACAGCACACTGTTTCTCCTCACCCAGCAGCCAGCACCTGCAATTTTGCTCTCTTGACAGAATCAGACAGCATGCAGAGAAGTGCACCTCTGGCTCTAGCCATGCAAGCACCCAGCACCTCTCCCACATTTGGACTGACCCTCGGCCCGAAAGAGCATCTGAATGGTGAATCAAGCTCTTTCCTTTTGCTCTATGTGCCCTGTTGTGGCACTGCCTTTCCCAGCTCATGTATGGCCCCATTCTCCAGCACCTCCACCTTCCCCTCGCCTGGCTGCAGCACACAGGCCACCATAGCTCTGGCCACAGTTCCCACAGGCACCGAATAAGCAGTAGGGAAGACCCGAGCCACAACACCCAGAAACTGCTGGGCTATCCACTCCATGGGCCGAGACTCCTGGCGCTTGCACAGCAGCACCCTGCAAAGTGAGGAGGTAAGGTGGGTCAGCCTAAAACCAACCCCAGGGGGAGGCTA